TGAAATCAAACGGAGGATACATAACATACAGTAAGTATATACTTATTTCTGTGCTACAGCCAAATAATTATATAATTTTTACCCCTTATGATCAGAAATGGCATTGCACAATGAACAATTTTCGAACGAGGACTCTGATATGCCACTGTCACAAGTTATAGCAAAACGCCGTAGGATCACACGCATAAGTTCTGATGATTTTTCAACAGAAAGCTCAAGCGACATAATACCTTTTCATCGTCTACCTGTACGTCGCAATATAATTTTATCAAGCAGTGAAGACGAAGAAGATCAATCGAATCTTATCAACAATTATACAAATCCTTCTTCCACGGACTGGTCTAATCCTACTGGAAACCAACCACAGCTTACGCCTTTCGTAGGTGGACATGGTTTTAAAATATTAAATCGAAATTATGAAAATGTAGGAGACATTTATTCCTTGCTACTGGATGATAGAATCCTTGAAATTATAGTGGAAGAAACCAATCGATATGCGGAAAAGATGTTGCTTGAGAAAACGTCATCGCGGTTAGACAAATGGAAACCGACAGATAAAACCGAAATGAAACGATTTTTTGGGCTCATCATGTGGATGGGCATAGTAAAACTTCCCGAAGTCCATTTATATTGGTCCACAAATGCAGCTTACGCTCAAAGTCTTCCTGCGGCGGTGCTATCAAGGAATCGTTTTGAGCTTTTGTTGCAAATGTTACATTTCTGTGATAACGAAAATGAGAATCATGACGACCGTTTGTACAAAATTAGAGGCATAATTGACATGCTAAATAAAAATTTTCAAAAGTATTATAATCCAGGCGAAATTGTTTGTGTAGATGAATCGTTGATTCCCTTTCGGGGTCGCATCGTCTTCAAGCAGTACATAAAGCAAAAACGACACAAATACGGCATAAAAATATTTAAATTATGTTCGGCACCGGGATACACAGTCAATTTTCAAATTTATTGCGGGAAAAAATCAGACACGGAGAAAACGACGCCTAC